TCTAAATTTAAAAATGCAAATTCGGACGAAGAAAAAACCTGCCTACTAGCAGAAGCTCTCATGGATAAAGTTTAATCTCATATTATTTTAACCTTTAAATTCCCTCCTAATTATTTTCTCTTTATAATAGTTGTTTTTAAAATAATAAACTAAAATTAGAATAATTCTTCGAAGTCAAAGCTAGTGCAGTTTAAAAGCTCACTTCCAACCTCCAATCAAAACCCACCTCCACAGCACCACTCTCATTGGTTCTCCACTCCTGAAGTCACGCCCTCCTCTCCCAACCAAAGCTGCAACACCATGAACATCGAATAACCAGATAGAGGGTTGAAGACTGCTGACGCAGTCTAGGTACCTCTTCACAAAATCATCCGTCAATCAATCTTTGGCTTACTAAAGCTGCAACACCATGAACATCGAATAACCAGGTAGAGGGTTGAAGACTGCTGACGCAGTCTAGGTACCTCTTCACAAAATCATCCGTCTTTGTCTTACTCAGGTTTTCCACTTGTCAGCGCCAAAATACTTATCAGATAGGGGATGGAGGATCTATTGCAGATCCATATCCCTGTGACGTGAAGAAACTTTTAGGCATAACCTTCAGTTTTAATAATCGTTTGTTTGAAAAAAAAAATTGGCGTACATTTTAAATGGGCCAATTCATTTGACCGAGTGTTATAATTTGTTTGTTAAAAGTTATTGAACTTCTGTTTCACTGTAGGTGGTAATTTTATGATTGAAGAATTAAATAGCAAATGAGAGAGAGAGAAAAGAAGGGGAATTTCTTCAGCTATTCTTCTGTTAAGTCTAGAGGGGGGTGCCAGCTCAGGTGTCGTCCACGTCACTTGACCATGGTTCAAAATTACGTGCTCCGTCGCTAAAAGCCCTCGTGTAGCTGAACAGTGCGACGTTAGTATTCAATCAATCAGTCAATCAATCTGTTAAGTCTAGAATTTAAAGAGGAATTTTGTCTTTTTGGATGGGGAATCTTCTGAACGATAAAAAATAATTCTGTTAGATTATATTGGAATAATTAATATATACCGATTATACCATACCTGAAAAGTGATATGTGTAATTTTGACTTATTATCCTTACAAAAAGAGTTTATATTTTATCCTTTTTTGTATGAGTCATTTTTTTGGTGCTGTTAAATGTGTTCATGTTTGGTTTCTATTCTCCGATACTAAATGAGTCAAACGTTTTCTAAAAAAAAATTGAATACTTTCAAAAAGTTTTTAAATCTTGCGAATACCTTAGTGAAGATAGACGCATCCATTAGAATGCGATAAATAAATAGGCAAATTAGGAATATGTATATTTTCTATGACACAATGTGTTCTCGTTTTGGTTCAGCCTAGGACATTTGGCTAAACTAGTCTTAACACTTCTACCAACAAAAATAATCGTATATTATGAAATTTAACATTTCCGGTAAAATTAATATAGTTTATACCGCAACTTTTTTATCTGTGTCTATCTTTCATATTGCAATAAATATGCGTTCTATGTTTAGTCTTCTACTATTTGATGCAAAATAGGTTTGAAATTTAAAAATCTGCATACCTAAGTATTTAACTTTTTTTAAAAAATTATTGTCTTTAAATGTCTTGCATTTTTAAATTCGACTTGTGCCTTCTAGATACACAAATTCCTAATTTGAGAGAATCTAGAACAGAATTTCTGTACTCTCTCTCTCTAATGTCTTGTACACTTCACACCAGTTTCATTCAAATACGCTTTGTATATAAATGTCTCCTAGTTAATTCTAAAACGACTGCCTCGTAGTACGACTTCCATTAACATTTGAAATAAGTTATAGTTTAAAAGAGCTAAAGAATGCGCTTTTATAGTTTATCTAAGAAGTAAAAAAAATCTTAATGTAAGAATAAAATGATCAACAAGAAGCTCCATGTTGTTGCGGTGCAAGCATGGAGTGCTCGATATCAATTTTGTTATAATTTTTTACTAGTTCTATTCCGAAGTGTGGAGTTAAAGTACAAAGTACACACTATAGTACAAAGCAACACACGCGCTTTTACCACAATGAGATTATTTTTCTCGTTGATCATTTTTTTTTTAGAATTACTTTTTACTTTTTAGTTCTATTAACTAAAAAAGCATGTTTTTACACAAGCTTTTATTTAACTTGCATTGTAAAATGTTCGGGTGGAATCTTGCAACTCAATTTTGAAGCTGATGTCTTCAACCGATTGAGCTGAATTTTTGTATACACGGTTAGTTTGGATGACAATGTGTGATATGGTCGCTCTTTGGTGACCATATCTTTCTGATTGTCAGCGTGAATTAGAGGTGTGGGATTTTCAAAATGAATAGACATTTTAAAATTCTTAATGTGATTTTATTAAGAATATAACTTAAATTTTTAATAATTTAGAAAACTTTATATAAGTGAGAGTCTAATGAACCAAACACACATCGATAGTTAAATTGTATCAAGTAATTTAGACCACTTTATCTAATTAATTATATTATTCGCCAACTCTCAATTCTGATAATATTACAAGTCCTAATATCAAATAATCAGTCCCACCTTAATCCAAAATAAGATTCTAACACGGTACGAAACGTCTGGGAGCACGTGCAATGGTATGCACCTTGTATCAATGGCTGAATATCTTAGTAACCTTATGATAGGCCGTCACAATTCACACTCATATCTCTTCCAAACATAACTTTACCCTAAATTGCCATACTGCTTACTGAAACTTCTGTACTTTTAAAAGCTATCTTATTTGCATTTCATAATCGTATTTCACTTCTTGGATTTGGGTTGGAAAAGATTTGCCATTAATCTTGGCCGTCAAAGAACCCAGAGGCTATGTTACAGAAAAGACGCGTGAGCCCGTCACAAATGCATGTTTTGACCATTTATGATCCGATATCGCAATTAGTTAAAAGATATTAATTAAAGTAATTTGTTCGGGTGGAATCTTGCAACTCAATTTTGAATCTGATGTCTTCAACCGATTTAGCTGAAATTTTGTATACACATTTAGTTTGGATAACAATGCATGTTTTGATGATTTAAATTCCGATATCGACCATGTTACTGTAACGACTTTGTTCAGGTGTTAAGGAGAGCACGTCTACAATAATAAAGGTGTGGACTGGGGGTGTAGCTCAGTTGGTAGAGCACTCGCTTAGCATGCGGGACATACGGGGATCGATACCCCGCGACTCCGATTATTATTTTTTCGTGTAAAATATTTTTCAAATTCTTTTGATTTGTACAACGGGATATTTTACAATACTTCCACTCAGAATACGTACAAAGTATGCTATATTTTTACAAACTTTTATTTAACTTGCAATGTAAAATGTTCGAGTGGAATCATGCAACTCAATTTTGAAGCTGATGTCTTCCACCGATTGAGCTGAAATTTTGTATACACGTTTAGGTTAGATGACGACGCATATTTCGACCATTTATATTCCAATATCGCAATTAGTTAAAAAGACTAGCTGCATGGCCAGGCGTTGCACGGGCATTCAATACTTTTATAAATTTTACCCTTCCTTCAAAAAATCAGCATTTCTAGTACTCTTTTTCGAAATGACTCCCACCCCCTCTCTCCCTCCTCCGCTTAGCCCTGCATTGCTCGGGCTTTTACGGAATGTATAAGTTAAAAATTCCTGTTTCAAAATTTGTTTCGCTTCTTTTCTTTGTCGGACTGGTTTATACCTCCTCCCCCCTCATGGCGTTGAAACGAACATTTTTAAATGTATAACATATTGTCATGGATATTCCCCTTCTCCTCTCGTTATCAAAGCTCTTGAGTAAGTGACCATTCACCGATTCTTAAGCAGCGTGAGATGTGCAGCCCTATAGTGGCACAAAAAGTAATGAATTATTGCGCAAATGAAATTCATCAAAAAATTTTTTCCAGGTTTTGTTTTTGAAATCACTAACTGCAAAAGATCAAAGTATAAGTTTCTTAAAAATCATATTCATATAAACGTATCGATATTGATTCATTTTAGAAAAAATCAAAATATGTAAAGTATCGTTGTTTTATTAAAAAAAATACTGTATTGTGACCAAAAAAATTATTTTACCAATAACAAAATTGATGGCGAATTTATTAAATGCGAGAATAAAATTTTGAGTATTTTTTTAAAAAAATCATAAAATATAAACGATGATTTTGTTTCGAACCCGGTTATAAATGTTACTAATCCATCGCTCGAAGCGACCAATCCACGAAATCTTCTGAACAAAATAAATAGAAGACCGTTGAAATAAAAAGAAGAAATATTCAATTTCACATTGCATTATTTGTTAAAATTAAAAAAAAAAACTTTTTGCGCTTCATTTTTAAGGTAATGCCTTCAAACTTTACATATAGATTACAAACAACTGTAACTTTTAAGCAAAAAAATTTAACAAAAATAATGCTTAAATATTTTTTGCAAAAAGGGAAAAAAACAAAAAAACACAATTTTTAAGATATTTTATCAATTTTTGTACAGATTA